CAAACGTGAACCACATTTTGGGCCTTGGGGATAGCGGTTTCTATTCTGTAGGGGGCATGATTCCTAATCACTCTATAGTGGATTATTTTTTAGAAGCGGTGGGTATGAGGCTGGGTTTTCATTTTAAAGGAGTGGAAGGGGAGGTGTCAGTGGGCAATAATATTGTAAATGCTGTATGATACTGTAAAATATTGAAACATACTGCAAACAAATAAGTGGCCAAGACTGTTAACGAATCAGTTTTGTGCAGGGCTGCTCCTTCAAAATGGAGATCCAGCCACTCTTCTAAAAATGGTTCCCAAGGATTTTTTTGCTTGAAAGGTGCCAGCCCAAACATGAACCACATTTTGGGCCTTGGAAATAGCGGTTTCTATTCTATAGGGGGCACCTAATCACTGGGACCCAGTTTTTCATTCTATAGGGTTATTTGCTAGAAGCGGTGGGTATGAGGCTGGGTTTTCATTTTAAAGGAGTGGAAGGGGAGGTGTCAGTGGGCAATAATATTGTAAATGCTGTATGATACTGTAAAGTATTGAAACATACTGTAAACAAATAAGTGGCCAACACTGTTAACGAATCATTTTTGTGCAGGGCTGCTCCTTTAAAATGGAAATCCAACCACTCTTCTAAAAATGGTTCCCAAGGATTTTTTTGCTTGAAAGGTGCCAGCCCAAACGTGAACCACATTTTGGGCCTTGGAAATAGCGGTTTCTATTCTAGAGGGGGCATGTTTCCTAATCATAATCACTGGGACCCAGTTTTCCGTTCTATAGTCGATAATTTGTTCCAAACGGTGGGTATGAGGCTGGGCTTTCATTTTATACGAGTGGAAGGGGAGGTGTCAGTGGGCAATAATATTGGAAATGCTGTATGATACTGTAAAATATTGAAACATACTGCAAACGAATAAGTAATCAACACTGTTAACGAATCAGATTTTAGCAGGGCTGCTCCTATAAAATGGAAATCCAACACCACTTCCAAAAAATTGTCCCCAAGATTTCTTTTCTTGAAAGGTGCCAGCCCAGATCCAAATGTGAAACCACATTTTGGGCCTTGGAAATAGCGTTTTCTAGTCAGTAGGGCACTCGTGGATAATCTTTTGGAAGTAGTGGTCAGTGTCCGGCTGGGTTTTCATTTTATAGGAGGGGGAGGGGGGGAGTGTCAGTGGGCAATGACAGTGCAAATTAAAGTGTGTAACAGAAAAAGTAATCATTACTGTTAACGAATCAGTTTTTAGCAGGGCTGCTCCTATAAAATGGAAATCCAAGACCACTTCCAAAAAATTGTCCCCAAGGATGTTTCTTTTTTGAAAGGCACCAGCTCAGATCCAAACGTGAACCACATTTTGGGCCTTGGAAATAGTGTTTTCTATTCAGTAGGTTTTTTTTTCTTGACCACTAGGACCCAGTGTTTTATTCTATAGTGTGTATATTATGTGTTTATGTATTTCAGTATTTCTATAGTGGTTTGTCAGTGTCAGGCTTGGTTTTCATTTTGTAAGAGTGGCAGGGGGCTTGTCAGTAGGCAAAATAATAGTGCGTATACATGCGTATAACTTTTTTTAAAATATAGATAGATAGATAGATAGATAGATACATACATAGATTTATTTATATATATATTGTAATATATACACATCATTATATGAATGTTTCTGAGCCTGGCCATGCTGAGGCACGGCTCCTCTTGGATCAGTTCCTATAAAATGGTAATCCAACCCCCCCTCTGTAAAATAGTCACCAAGTATATTCTTTTGTGGAATGGTGCCAGCCCAGATCCAAAAAGTGAAACCAAACTTAAGGCATTGCAAACCCAGTTTTCTATTCTATAAGGTGTCTTTTTCCTAATCACTGGGACCCAATTTTTCATTCTATAGTGGATTATTTGTTCCAAGCGGTGGCCAGTATAAGGCTGGGTTTTCATTTTATAGGAGTGGCAGGGGGTTGTTGGCTTTCTTGGGTTTCTATTCTATAGGGAAAATCACCCCCCCTTAGTCCTGGGTTTTCGTTTTAGTCCCTATAGAATGGAACCCCAGGTTTGGTCCGAATTCCAACAGGGATATGTTTAACCATTCGCTCTTTGCCATGAGTCCGTGTTCCTAAAGCAACTAGGCCAACGAAAGGTGATTAGTCCCTTCATTGGAAAATTAAGTTCCGCATTCGTGTGCCTAACATTTATGCATACTACATTCATTGTTTTTCAGGTTCCACTCTCTTTGAGCTAGAGCTCCCAGAAGGCTCAGAAGCGGAAGGATTCTCAACAGGCCCTTCACCCTCAGGTTCAATCTCCGACACCAAGATAGGCTCGGGACCACCTGAAGCTTCCTCATTTTCGGATGTTTCATCCAGTACCCACCTGCCGTCAAGGGGCAAGAGGGTTCTGGCCAAATTCTTCGCCCACTTCACCACATCCGGGTGGTCTTCCAAAAGCTGGTTTTAACAGCTGTCATCGAGGCCAGTGTTCTTCTCCCCGTGTCTCTTGTCGGTGAAGTCTCAGGATTCAATGGCCAGCAAATCAGTACTGACCATGGTCGTGCTAAGGCATCTTGTGTCATGCATGTCATGCATGCCACTTATGCTCATGCCACCTGATGTCATGTCATGTCATCCTAACAACTCATGGCAAGTCATGTCATTGTGTCAAACCGTGCCATGCCATGCCATGTCATCATGTCAAACCGTGCCATGTCATCATGTCAAACCATGCCATGTCATCATGATGTATGGCCATGCAATGCCAACACATGAATGCCAACACAACTTCATGCAATGTCATTTCAGGATACGATGAGGGAAGAGAGTGTCCGCATACACTTCCAGGATGACAAACTCTGCGTGGTCCGAAGCCTTTGGATGAGGTACAAGTGCTCTGCGGAAGCCTCACGAGCTCTAATGAAAATGACATGACCGTGTGTATTGGCCCCAAAGTCATGCACATGATTGCGGTGCCCAACCTAGATATCAGATCATCACACAGCATATCCTAGCACATGCAAAAACAAGCAACCATGGCACAACGCCACCCAAAAAGAAGTCATTCGCCCCCACCCCGTTTGGAAGTTGAGCACCAAGGCACAGTCAGTTGAGTCCCCCCTCAGAGACCATAGGCACTGTCACATCCCGTCAATACTTGCCGAACAACAGGCCATGCTACAGGTCATGTGACAGCTCATGTGACAGGTCATGTACAGGTCATGTGGCATGGTCATGTCAGGGCATGAGTCCATGGCAATTGCAAGTCAAGCTACTGTCCGTGAAATCCACGGTACTCAAACTTGCGACCACATGCTATGAGCTGGATAGTCCCATAGGTAGTCCCAGTGGAACCAGCCGCCATGGAAGATGTGAGAGAACTTTGCTCTTAGTCGACGTGCACGGCCAACAGTCAAAAAAAAAATGAACAGTGACGAATCAGTGACAAATTGGTGCGGGGATATATTGACTGAGAACTATTAGAATCAACACATCAACACAAGATGCCATGCAAGCCTGTTGGGCCTGTTGAGCGGAATGGCGTGTCGGGGTCGCAGCGGGATTACAGTACAACATGATTGCGGTGCCCACACGGCTTCTTCGACCAAGGTAAACAGGTCAGGAGCACTAATCCGGCCAAAGTTCAGCTGAAGTGTTTGGCTGCACGGCCCAGCTTTTGAACCACTGGACATGGCATGGCAACATAGATGCATGGTGACATGGCAATCCCCGACATGTATTCCATGCATGCCATGACATGGCAATCCCCGACATGTATTCCATGCGTGCCATGCCATGCCCTAACATGACAAGCCCCTGACATGTATTCCATGTCATGCCATGACATGACAAGCCCCCGACATGTTTTCCATACATGCCATGCCATGCCCTAACATGACAAGCCCCCGACATGTATTCCATGCATGCCATGTCATGCCATGACATGACAAGCCCCCGACATGTATTCCATGCGTGCCATGCCATGTAACATAACTGGACATGACAAACCATGTAGCCCATGAATGCCATACCATGAGAGACCCTCCAAAACCCCCCACCTCATGACATACCTTTCCAAACCACCCCCCCACCCAGCATCAAAAAAGTTTTGGCATCATTTTTTGCAGATTTCTTCATTATCTTATGTATGTGTAAAGGGTTGTTCAGGGACAATAAGTAATATTATTGTGAAACAAACATTGGAAATACACATAAAAAAACACCAAAAAAACATCGTAAAAATCAGCCCTCCACACCGTCCCACTCTCCAAAAGAAAGAGGTGTCACGCGACAGGTTGTCAAGAGATTTGTTAATCGCATGGGTGATCTCTCATACACACGCACATCTGAAAAGGCAGAGTCTTGCTTTCGCCCCGTAGGCGTTTAACCTGTGAAACTTCCGCCCCCGGCCTGCCTGGGTGCTAGTTGCAGTCTTACAAGATGCGAATTAAATAGGGCATATGGCTAAAGTCGAGCGCTTAGGCCGATCTTATATCCAATTCATACTGCGGATGGTTGCGAAATCCTGCACCACCTCGGATGATCGAAACCCTTTGAATATCTATAAATTAGGATGTTTATCACCTATCAACTGGTGCAGGGTTTCTTCCATCAACAGTATGAGCATGTTGTTTGTGCTACTGGTGGGTCTCTCAATGCCGGTGCCTTGATGAGACTTGCGGCGCTTCGGGAGATTCTGGAATTCAAAGATGGCCGTGAAGCGCCATCATTTACATAGTGCCCATGGGCCCCGTCATCAGCTAATAGAAACCGGTCCGACGCATTCGTGAATATATCGATGATCATTATCGATATATAATTAATTAATATTAGTTATTATATGCATTAATTACATGTAATTATGTTTCCTTATTCCTTATAGCTTAGCAAACCTGTTGGTTGATAAACTGCAGTATAGTAGGTTCCGATTTTTGCATTTTCAAGGTCGATCTTTTTATTCTTTCGGTTGAGATCTGGGTTCGCGCACCTCAAAACGTTGGTTCCTGATCTCGCTGCGCTGACCAGGTGGTCTTTCGTATTTTGCTCCTTGGCAAAATCGGCCGATTTGGGTGACGCCACATGACCACAGCTTCGATAGAGCTTGTACTGACATGCAATGATGGGAACTGCAGTGCAACCCAGGATCAATATTTGTTTGCGATATGTTTCCCCGCTTGCGACGTGAAGGTCTATGGATTTTGTGCTCGTCCGTTTGTTTTTTTTTCTTCTTTTAGTTGCTTCCTTTGTTGTTTCTCCCTCTCAGTCCTTTTCTGTTGCTCCTTTTCCGCTTGGACCCTGCGCTGCTCCACTGCAGCATGGCGAGCTCGCATTCTGGGTCTCGCCGGGCCCGAACGACTGTGCCAGAAAAAATGTCAGATAGAATGGGTAAATGTCAGAGTTTGTTTATATATTAAAAAAAAAAATCCTCCTGCCAATTTCCACTACTAAATGCTATGACCTAGGTCCCGGAAAGTGAACCAAAAATTTAGTGTGAAATTTCTAGAAACCATTTAGTAGAGAATCATGATTTTTCAAAAAAATCAAGTAAACATCTCTAGACCCATGATCCACATTTAGTAGAGAGGTAAAAATGATATGTTAATCATACGAAGACTGTACGCTGGAAGTTATATGAGTTTACAGATTTAGACGAGTTACAACATGTATATAAACCTTCTATAACCTGTCTATAACCTGCTTGCAAGTATGTAAAGTGTCATAACATTTGATAAGTAATTTGTAAGTTTAGCTAGCCGGCTACGAGAAGTTGTAAATGTTTAGGTAAAATATAAATGGTTAATGAACTTATCGTAAGTATCTTAACTGCATGTTTTCTTTTTATAACTATGTTAACAGACTTAACATAAGTACGTAGGAAAAGTTATCATAAGTTATCTGAAAGTTAACAAAAGTTATAAAAAGTTATAAAAAGTTACAAAAAGTTAGTATAAAGGTACATAAAGTTAAAAATATGTTTACAAGAGGGCAATGAAAATGTTTATTTATTTTACATTTTTCGAGAGTTTCATTAAGTTTGTGACAAAGCTTGTCAACATTTATACAGGGTGAAACAATCTTTCTGTATGTGGAAACGATGTTGTTCGCAGGCAATTTTTTTGTGAAGACAGGTCCTGTAAAGGAATCGGTGTGAAAAAAATGAGGTCCTGGAACGGACATGGTTTGAAAAAATGGTTCCTGTAAAGGATTCTGTTTGAAGAAATTGTTCCTGTAAAGGACATGGTTTGCAAAGACTGTTCCTGTGAAGGATGTGGTCTGTAAAGACATTTCCTGTAAAGGATCGAATGTTTGAACTTGTAATATCTAATGCTTGTAAAGGACCTGGTCTTGGAAGATATTTCTTGCAGAGAAGGTCTTGTTTTTTCTATCAATATGCAAACAGTGTGTGTTTGTGTTAGCTGCATTGCCTCTCAAAGTAAAAGCACCAGCACGTTCCATATAGTTCAGCTATAGTTCCACTATAGTTCCGCGACAGTTCCGCTATAGTTCCACCATAGTTCCGCTATAGTTCCACCATAGTTCCGCTATAGTTCCGCTATAGTTCCGCTATGGTTCCGCTATAGTTCCGCTATAGTTCCACCATAGTTCCGCTATAGTTCCGCTATAGTTCCGCTATAGTTCCGCTATAGTTCCGCTATAGTTCCGCTATAGTTCCACTATAGTTCCGCTATAGTTCCGCTATAGTTCCACTATAGTTCCGCTATAGTTCAGCTATAGTTCAGCTATAGCTCAGACAAAAATAGCTATAGTTCAAAGAAAAATAGCTATAGTTCAGACAAAAATACCTATAGTTCAATACCAAACGTTGGAACGGACTAGATCCCGAAAGGGAGAGGTTGAAACAACCAAGTCCCGAACGGGATCGTTTTAACAAAATGACGGATCCCGAACGGGAACAGTTGCAACTAAACTTGTTTCCAGATCCAAAAATACAGACAGAGATATCACAAAAAAAACATATCGCCTCAGGTGTCATGATTCCTGAAACATACATAACTGAAACGCTTTCACATCACTTCGTCGATTCAAAAAAGGATATCATATCTGAAAGTTCTTTCAGAAACAAGACAGTTATAAAATCCACGTGGTCGGAAACCAAGGCAAAGACTTTCAAAAGTATAAAAATATACAAAAAAGTTACAAAAAGTTATGAAAAGTTATAAAAAGTTAGCAGAAGTTATAAAAAGTTAGCAGAAGTTACGAAAAGTTAAGACAAAACTTACAAATAAGTTATTAAAGTTAACATAACTTCCTTTTATCTTTTTGATAAGTCATGCTAACTTCCAACATAAATCCTTTAACTTCTGTATATCTAGGCTAAGTCTGTAAAGTCTTATAACTTTAAGCGTACAGTCTTCGTATGGTGTCAAATGTTGTTTTTTGGGTAAAACCATTTAGTAGAGATGTCAAAAAATGTTGCAAAATCACAGGAACCATTTTGTAGAGGTTGCGAAGTAGAGTTCATAAAACGGTCACAATGAAATGAGACAAAACTGAAAAACCATTTAGTAGAGATTCCCATTCCGTTGCCCCCGATAGCCGTTTGGCCAATCCATGTCCATCAGGATGAATCACGTAAATCCAGATAGTATATGATAGTAGATGCGCAAAAAAATAAGAAGCTTGAAAAATAAATATAAATTCTAGAATGCCAATGAATATCAAAGATATTCCTGGGTTGAAGTAAATCAACATGATCGGGTATACCGCGATATGAAACAACAGAAGTTGGACAAAGATAGCATCCTTGCGGTATCCTGCCATGCCGCCTCCAGTCTAGCCAAGTGCTGCCTCTACTAAATGGATGGTCATGGGATCAGTCTATCTAGAACTGTTTCAAACAAAGCCCTGTTGCATCCTTGTGTGCCCTATAATCCCTTACGCGCTATGCAACACCATTTTGTAGTCCCAAAATGTCCAAATTCTATCAAGATTTCCCCTGTCTAGCCAAGTGCTGCCTTGCCTTTTTTGGGGGCGATGCCAAATCCCTCGCTTGGGTGTTTCTTGCTCGTCGGGTGCTGCCTTTCGTGTTTTTTTTGTTTTTTGCCTTTTTTGGGGGCGATGCCAAATCCCTCGCTTGGGTGTTTCTTGCTCGTCGGGTGCTGCCTTTCGTGTTTTTTTTTGTTTTTTTTGCCTTTTTTGGCGGCGATGCCAAATCCCTCGCTTGGGTGTTTCTTGCTCGTCGGGTGCTGCCTTTCGTGCTTGGGTTCTTTTGTTGCCTTTTTTGGGGGCGATGCCAAATCCCTCGCTTGGGTGTTTCTTGCTCGTCGTGCTTACTAAATGGATGATCATGGGATCAGTCTATCTAGAACTGTTTGAAACAAAGCCCTGTTGCATCCTTGTGTGCCCTATTATCCCTTACGTGCTATGGAACACCATTTTGTAGTCCCAAAATGTCCAAAATCTGTCAAGATTTCCCCTGTCTAGCCAGTGCTGCCTTGGCTTTTTTTGGGGGCGATGCCAAATCCCTCGCTTGGGTGTTTCTTGCTCGTCGGGTGTTGCCTTTCGTGTTTTTTGCCTTTTTTGGGGGGCGATGCCAAATCCTTCGCTTGGGTGTTTCTTGCTCGTCAGGTGCTGCCTTTCGTGCTTGGGTTCTTTTTATTGCCTTTTTTGGGGGCGATGCCAAATCCCTCGCTTGGGTGTTTCTTGCTCGTCGGGTGCTGCCTTTCGTGTTTGGGTTCTTTTTTGGCCTTTTTTGGGGGCGATGCCAAATCCCTCGCTTGGGTGTTTCTTGCTCGTCGGGTGCTTACTAAATGGATGGTCATGGGATCAGTCTATCTAGAACCGTTTGAAACAAAGCCCTGTTGCATCCTTGTGTGCCCTATTATCCCTTACTTGCTATGGAACACCATTTTGTAGTCCCAAAATGTCTAAAATCTGTCAAGATTTCCCCTGTCTAGCCAAGTGCTGCCTTGCCTTTTTTGGGGGGCGATGCCAAATGCCTCGCTTGGGTGTTTCTTGCTCGTCGGGTGCTGCCTTTCGTGCTTGGGTTCTTTTTTGGCCTTTTTTGGGGGCGATGCCAAATCCCTCGCTTGGGTGTTTCTTGCTCGTCGGGTGCTTACTAAATGGATGGTCATGGGATCAGTCTATATAGAATTGTTTGAAACAAAGCCCTGTTGCATCCTTGTGTGCCCTATTATCCCTTACGTGCTATGGAACACCATTTTGTAGTCCCAAAATGTCCAAAATCTGTCAAGATTTCCCCTGTCTAGCCAAGTGCTGCCTTGCCTTTTTTGGGAGCGATGCCAAATCCCTCGCTTGGGTGTTTCTTGCTCGTCGGGTGCTGCCTTTCATGTTTGTTTTTTTTTTTGCCTTTTTTGGGGGGCGATGCCAAATCAATCCCTCGCTTGGGTGTTTCTTGCTCGTCAGGTGCTGCCTTTCGTGCTTGGGTTCTTTTGTTGCCTTTTTGGGGGCGATGCCAAATCTAAATGGATGGTCATGGGATCAGTCATATGTGTTTCATGTTGTTTTCTCTACTAAATGGACCCCGTGTATTTCTCTACTAAATGGCTTTGGGGTTTTGGTCGAGTGATGGTGGTCCCGCAACTTGTGCTCAAATGAGTACCTCTACTAAATGGAACAGGGTGTTTGGTCGAGTCATGTTGGTGTCTGAAGACACTCTGAAAATATATCCAAATTTTGCGCTTCAGCTGAACCAGGGGCCCACATTTAGTAGTGAAATTCGATCATGCATGCGCATCCATTTAGTAGAGCTTGAGGCTATGCAAGCCGTTTCTTCATTACAAAATGGTTGCACAGCCCCACCCCTTAATTGACAGCGGGGTAAAAAAAATATGTCAGATCGAATCTCGGGATACATGCCAAAAGAATGTCAGAATATATGTCAGCTGGTGGGTATCGCTCGATGGAAAACATGTTTTCCCACCTGCCAGGTGAGAGTCTCTAGATTTTATCAGAGTTACCAGACATCAGTCAGTGGGCACTGCAGGACCTCAACTGCGAGCTCCAGATCTCAGTGGGCACTGCCGGACCCCAACTGCAAGCTCCAGATCTCAGTGGCCAC